GCCCCACATCAGAGAGCGTGAGGTCCAGCCCAGGCTCCCGCTTCCTGCTAACGCGGACCCTGGGGGACTGCAAACAATGCCTCAAGTGTCTGGGTTCCAAAATGAGTTCCTGGCTCCCAGCTCCGCCTGGCCCAGCTCTAGTAATTGTGGGCATTTGGGAAGTGAACCAGAGGACAGACAGGAGCTCTCGTCTGTATGTCTGTCTCTCAAAAATAAATAAATAAATAATCTTATTTTAAAAAACAAACATTATCATATTTGAGATTACATTTACAGATGACTAGTCCCTTTATTATAATTTTTATGTCAAAAATTGGAATCCTATTCCTTTTTGTAGAATATAACAAATATTCAATTAAGTCAATTATATTACAGAAGAACATACAATTCAGTCCAAAATTTGTGTATCTTTTATAGTTCTCCCTGGCATAAAATCATTCCAAAAGTTGTATCCAGAATGTAAGGTTGATGGAAGCAAAGGCATCCGTTACCAGAGCATTCTCCGAACCAGACTCAGAACACGTATATCCCACAGATGTTTGAATGGAAAAGAATAAAGTCAAAGAGTGTAACTGCACAGTCTGATTAACACACATATTCAAGTTAAGCAACATAGATTGGGGCCAACCACTTTGCAGTGTCAACTATACCCAATCAGCAGCTTCCGCAAGTTTACCAACAAGCATGTCTTCCTTCAGGGGGCTCTACAGAGCCTCACCATAAAATGCCAAGCTTACACACTGACTCAGACAATGAAAGAACGGCTGAGAAAAATTTCCAGAGAATACAGCACTATGTTAGGGTCACCATTTGTGTGTGTGTGTGTTGCTCATAGCAATCACAATAGTTACACTATCATCAAAACTTACTGTTAGGGGCCGGCACTGTGGCTCAGCGAGTTAAAGCCCTGGCCTGTAGTGCTGCCATTCCATATGGGCACGGGTTCAAGTCCTGGCTGCTCCACTTCCAATCGAGCTCCCTGCTGATGTGCCTGGGAAGCAGCAGAGGATGGCCCAAGTCCTTGGCCCCTAGCACCCACATGGGAAATCAGATGAAGCTCCTGGCTCCCAGCTTCAGACTGCTTCAGCTCCGTTCATTGTGGCCATTTGGGGAGTGAACCAGCAGATGGAATACCTCTCTCTATCTTTCTCTCTCTCTCTACCTCTTTCTATAACTCTTTCAAATAAAGAAAATAAATTTTAAAAAAAGTAATCTTTAAAAAAAAACCTCATTGTTAGCCATTTGTAAGTCAATATGGATATAAAAGGATGAATAAAATGGAGTCTTTAAGCATACAACCTTGTTGGGGAAAAAATGTCTCCTATACACACAAAAAAACAAGGAGCAGTTGGCAGAAGCGGCTCCACATGTGTTATATGGGCAGCAGGTGCTATTGGGCCCAGAGAGGGGTCTGGGGTCAGCTGAATTCCTGAAAGACCTCCCAGGCTAGGACCTCTGCTGGGGGAGCGAGACTTGGAAACACAGCAGGAGGAAAGGAGAGGGTTTTACCCAATAGCAAGTGGAAGAGCACAGAATATTTAGCAGACTGTGGGGTGGGGCTTGGGCGTTGGAAGGTCAGTTTGAACTTGGAGGTTATTTTCCTGTAAGCTACCCACACAGATAAAAAGCAAGACATAAGAGTAAACAAAGTGAGGTCATACTTCAAAATCTTACTCTAGATACTTTAGCTTAGATTCTTTTATAGGTGCCTCAGATACTAACAGTTACTGGGGAAAGAAGATGAAAAGACAAGTACAGGTAACTCATAAGAAAAAAGTAGAACCACTGGAAAACAGTGAGTGTGCTTAACACACTATGAACTAGTCATTAACATCTCTAAGTTGAAGTTACCCAGAACTGAGATAAGCCTAATAAAACAATGAATCAGTATTTATATGAAATTAATATTCAAGAAGTAGAAGAAAGTACATGGATACTTCTCACTTGAGTAGCTTAAAAATTAACCTCACTTCTGCTCCCAGAGTCACTGTAGCTTCCCATGACTACGAACCTGTTTCCCTACATGGCAGCTTCATCACATTCACAAACAAAAACAGCCTGTGTCCCCAGGTCCCAAGTTTAAGTGAGTCTCGAGTGAGACGATGAATCCCTGTTTCCACCAGAAGTCAACAGCAAGCTTGCAGATTTCAGGAAAGGCACAGCGTACAGGTGATGAAGAATTAAATAGCAGCAAAGTAAGAAGGGAAATACAGGTAAAGGAAGGTCAAAGTTTATTAAAGGTTATAACTTAAAAGGATCAGCAAAACTACTCTAGGAGACTGGGAAGCATTCTATTGTTCACCAAGACAATGTTACTAATTATCAATTCATCTGACACTTGTATTTTCCCAGTAATTGTAAAAGTAGGGGAAAAAAAGTCAATTATAGATGTGTTCAAAAACATGACTAGTGCTGAATACGTACCCCTTTTAAAAATTCAATTTTTAGAATTTAAGAATATATTTGCTGACTTCTAGATAACAGACATTTCTAATCTTCCATTTTTAATTGTTGTGAAACATTCTGATATAGAACAGCAAAAGTGAAAAGCATCTAGTACTTTGGAAACCACTGAACTATTGGGAAAAAAAGTCAAACTGTTGTTTCTAAAAGCCAAATTTAGGGCTCCAAAAGCAGTCTGCTTGTTAGCCATGAAACAATGCAAAGTCTCTCCACAGCGGGGCAGCCGGCGAGCGCAGGTGCTCTGCACTCAGTAAGGATCAAGGACTAGGAAGACGCGTCTGCCAGGATGGAACCTACAGCTTTATTAAACATGCGACAATGATTCCTCATGCATGCTGGGCATTAAATAAAAATGGAAAAATCCAGGAAATAACCATATGTTAAATACTGTAAGGATTATTAAATCAGAAATAACAATTTCCTTAGCATACAGAACCCTAAAAACATATTAAACTTAGAAACAAGTTATATCAACTATTTATAATGTGTTCATTTATCTTTTAATTTACATGTATTTAAGATGTAAAATCCTGTTAAGTTTATGACCTCAGAATAGATTTTATTTTGGCTATACTACAATGTCATTTCACCTGTCATTACTACACAATTATTATTATGCGTTTAATGGAAAGTAGGAAAAAACTGGAAAAAATACAAATAATCCATTTTCAGTTTTAAGCTAAGGAGTCCAGTAAGAGTAACCGCCCTCACCCTTCTGCCCTGAAGTTTCCACCAGCCTCACAATCCTTCCGAACTCCCGCTTCCAAACCAAGTGATGGTCCTACTCCATCCGCACACCTTGGCAGGAGAATGCAGTCAGACATCCCAGTATGCCGCCTGCTAGTAACTTCTGTGGTATAAAAGTCCTTAGCAAATACGTAACAAAAAGCACGTCATGCGGTAAAGACCACAGGTCTAGAAGACTGCAACTCTAAAGACCCCGTCACTATCTGCTGTGTACTCTGCTGAGGCCTGGCACTGCACTCCCTGGCCTCCCCCCGAGCCCGCCCCCCAGCCCGGCTCACCCCGTGGTCCTCTGGGCCCGCAGGTGAACCTCCTGAGGATCTCCTTCCCTTAGGCCTGCTCTGGCCCACATTCGCTCTCTCCTGGTTCATCCAGCAGCCCCGGACTCAGCGCTGGCTATGCCACTCTCCAAAAAGAAGCCCACATCATCTAGCAAATCTGACAACTACCTGGCTTCAAATCTTGCAGTAGCTTCCCATTTTCTATGGTATAAAATTATCTTTAGGGGCCAGCATTGTGGCGTAGCAGATAAGACTGCAGCCCATGACTCAGGCATCCCACATGGACACCGGTTCAAGTCCCAGCTGTTCTACTTCCAATCTAGCGCCCTGCTAATGGCCCTGAAAAAGCAACAGAAGATGGCCCAAGTTCTTGGGCCCTGAACCCACACAGGAGACCCGGAGGAAGCTCCTGGCTCCTGTCCAGCCCAGCCCTAGCCTTTGAGGCCATTTGGGGAGTGAACCTGAGGATGGAAAATTTCTCTCTTTCTCCCCCGTTCTCTTTGTACTTTGCCTTTCAAATAAGTAAAATCTAAAAAAAATTGTCTTACCCTTTCCGACCTCATAGGATAGAACTATCTTTAGCCTCTCTGACGTCAGGTTTTGCTGCTCAGGGAGCATCTGACTCCTCTGTTTCCTCTGGCACTGGTCATGACAGAGCTCTCCTTCCTCGCCTCAGCATAACCAGGACCCTCACCCTCAGCCCAGGGATGGAGCGGCCTCCTGGAAAGCCCTCACTGAGAGCCCCAGAGGCCCTGCAGCCTGTGCAGGCGGCCAGTGGGGACATAGCCAGTGCAGGGCAATTCATCCACAGGCCTGCACCTGCCTAGGACTGCCAGCTCCTGAAGGGAGGGCCCTGGGTTTTAATCTGGCTGTGCCAGATGAACATACTGACGGGGCCGGCACTGTGACACTGTGCCGCCACCTGCAGTGCCCGCATCTCATACGGGCACCGAGTTGAGTCCCGGCTGCTCCATTTCCAATCCAGGAAAACAGTGGAAGATGTTGCAAGTGCTTGGGCCCTTGTACCCATCAGGGAGACCCGGAAGAAGCTCCTGGATCCTGGATCCGGCCATTGCGGCCATCTGGGGAGCAAACCAGTGGATTGAAGACCTCTCTCTCTGTCTCTCAAATAAATAAATAAATCTTAAAAAAAAAAAAAGGAAAGAAAAAAAGAAAAGAAACTGACAGATACAGCTGGAGCTACCAACTGAATGTGGCATTCCGAGGGCACTTGGCTGGGCCGTTTCAGCAAGATTTGCTCCATGGCTAATTTCAATTCCAAAGTCAGTTACTACTAAATGAAACATTGGTTTCCTGCACTGGTTTGTTGTTGTTTTTAATATATCCTCCACAACAAATAAAGAAGGTAAATACCAAGACTCAGTGGGCCCATAATCACAGAGAACGGGGAAAGTGCCAACTTGTGAAGCGTTAGAGCCTCGGCCTGGGTTCCAGGCAGCAGCCTGGTGTCCGGCCTAGGGGAGCCCTGGTGCACTCCATCAGCCCACACACCTGGAGTCCAAAGGCTGCATCCTCCGAGGCCAGGCCTTCAACCTGAAATCATAAGGGAAAAAACACTTTAGGCACTACGGACGACGTCCAGCATGGAGCCACAGAGCCAGGGCCCACGCTGTGGCAAACGGCGGTGGGCTCGGTCGGGGGCCTGCGAGGGCCTGAGGAGCGGTGTGCACGCAAGCACTGGCCGCAGGTTTTCCAGCCAGTGCGTCTGCATCCACATGGTGCTGGGTGCTGACAATCCCTCCAAGTGCACCACAGGTGTCGGCCACGCTCTCTCATCGTCACCGGTGAGCGGAGAGCTGAGCTTCACAAGGCCACTCCTCGGCCAGGCCCCAGCAGCCGTGCCCTGCCCTGCGGAGACCCGGCGGCGTGGGCACCCGCACGGAGCTCGTTCCCACGTGCAGACCCGCAGATCCTGGCCGCACCGAGCCACCGAGCTCAGGAACAGGGACACAAACAGCTGCAAGGAACGAGACGTGGGTAGTGACCATGGCCACTCAGTCACCAGTGTAAAGCTTTGCCCCAAAGTACCGACACGTGACGGGAAAGAGCGAGTAAAGCTGGCAAGTTTAGGGTCTGGAGTGACCTGGGCGAGGGGCTGTGTGATCAGACCAGCACTGGCTTCCTCGTGAGCTGCAGGGTTTGCAGCATTAGCTGCACTGGAGCCGTCTCAGTGGAAGACAGCAGGCCTCGCGGGGTACCTGGCCACAGAGCAAAACCCACTCTTCCCTTGCGGGAAGAGCTGCGGAGAGGCCCGAGTTCATTCCAGTAAGACCATCATCCAGTATGGAAGGAAACAGACTAGGTAGAGAAAAGGAAGCCGAGCGTGAGCCGCAACTAGTTTAGCTAAGGGAGTGGGGCTCCCCGACCGCCTCGGCTCACAGGTGGGCAAAGCACCTGCAGCCCGCACCGGGGGCGGCCAGGCTAGGGCGGCGGGGGGATGGCCCGCAGCCGGAGCCCACCCTGATTCCCTGACAGCCTTCCCGTGCACATTTCAATCTCTGAAGCTAATGGTCGGATTCAGGAGTAAGCCTCCTTACAGACCTAGAGACTAAGGGGAAAAAGCTATTTGCATTTCACCTGTTTCTGAATTTCCCAGACCTGCCGTTCACAGTCGGTTACTAAACCTCAACTGTTGCTCACATTACAACCCGGAATCGACACTGAAGGTTTTAGAGAGAAAAGCACAAACTCGCCAGTCTTCGCTGTGGTGAACACCTGTTCCACGGAGATCACGCTCAGTACAGCATGCACCCCCCCGTGAGGTATTTCAACATGCGTGTAATTATTTCAAAAATGTATTAACGTTTAAATTCTCAGAAACCATCTCCAAAGTGAGTTCTCCATACTTTAACGTTTTCTAAAAAGTCAAAGCAAAAACAATCTAGTAGAAATCTATGTAAAGACACTGACATCCTCAGGGGACAGCAGGGGTGGGGCGCTGGGCAGGCCCTGCAGTGGAAGAATGGAGAGGCACACCGGGCCCTCCTAATCCTTCGCCCCAAGGGAGGGGCGTGCTGGAGTTCCTGAGTGTTCCACTTGTAAACCAATTTAATTAAAGCAACTTCACAAAATTTCCCGGTTTGTCCAAAAGCAACGATTTCAAAACAGAAGCACAGTAGCTCAGTGTCCCTTCTCTATTTCTGTGAGAGTTTTACCCCAGAAAAACGAGACTGTCCTCAATTTAACACCGAGGGACTGTCCATGCCTGCACTGTGAATCCAGCTTGCACGGAATCCCCCTCTAGTGGGAGTAAGGGAGCATTTCAACCTTCACATGTGATTTTCAGGGCAGAGTCACTGCACTTCCCAACACAAGCAGCACTGATCTCCTGTCAGAAATCTGAATCACAGAACAGAAAATAGGGAGTAGCCATTAAGATGCCAAGGGAGACCCCCACATCAAAGTCCCTTCATTTCCAACTCCAGCTTCCTGCACCCCGGTGGGCAGCAGGTACTGGCTCAGGTATATAGGTCCCCCCTCCTGGAGACCTGCACTGAGTTCCGGTCTCCTGGCTTAGGCCTGGCCCAGCTCCAGCTGTTACAGGTTTGGGGGCATGAACCAGTGGATGGAAGATTTCTCTCTCCATTTCAAATAATTCTTTTTTACAGTTTGTAACTATTTTGCATGTCACAAGCCCAAAACTGCTATATCTATATACTCCCATGAACTATTAGTAAATTTGTGTAAATCTGATGGGATTTTAGGTATCAACTAATCAACATCATCAAAATTATCAGATTATAAAGTAATCACAATTTTAAGTTACAACAAGGAGGTATAACTGGAAACAATTAGTATATTCTCAGTGGAAAGAGTTGATATTATACTGGCAAGAAATAGCATTGATATAAACATATTATAGGAAGATTGATATGTAAATGTTATTTCTTTGCCTCCACCATAATTGACATTTATCTGATCTAAACTTCTGGAAATAAACACCCTCACTCATTCATTAATAAATATTTTCTGGATATTACTTATTACATGCAAGTAATAAATGCCCTAAGAGCCAAAGTGATGAATCTCACTCAGGTATGAACAATTGAGTAAAATGTACAAGGGTACTTCAAAAATTCTGTGGCTAAATGGAATTACAAGACAGGTTTATATTTGTGCAAAATATTTTGATACTCATGCATAGTTCTTCATAACATGTATTTTCCACAAACTTTTTCAAGACCCATCATATAAGAAAGTAACAAATTGGGGCCTGTGCTGTGGTGCAGCGGGTTAACTCCCTGGCCTGAATTTCTGGCATCCCATATGAGCACCAGTTCGAGACCTGACTGCTCCACTTCTGATCCAACTCTCTGCTATGGCTTGGGAAAGCAGTAGAAGATGGCCCAGGTCCTTGGGCCCCTGCACCCATGTGGGAGACCCAGGAGAAGCTCCTGGCTCCTGGCTTTGGATCAGTGTAGCTCTGGACATTGCGGCCAGTTGGGGAGTGAACCATCGGATGGAAGACTTCTCTCTTCTCTCTCTCTGCCTCTCTTCTCTCTGTGTAACTCTAACTTTCAAATAAATCTTAAAAAAAAAAAAAAAAAAAAGTGGCTGCCACCACGGCTCAATAATCTAATCCTCTGCCTGCGGCGCCGGCATCCCAGGTTCCAGTCCCGGTCGGGGCGCCAGATTCTAGTCCCGGTTGCTCCTCTTCCAGTCTAGCTCTCTGCTGTGGCCCGGGAGTGCAGTGGAGGATGGCCCAAGTGCTTGGGCCCTGCACCCGCATGGGAGACCAGAAGAAGCACCTGGCTTCTGGCTTTGGTTCAGCGTGGTGTGCCAGCTGCAGCGGCCATTGGGGGTGAACCAATGGAAAAAGGAAGACCTTTCTGTCTGTCTCTCTCTCTCACTGCCCACTCTGCCTGTCGAAAGAGAGAAGAGAGAGAGAGAGAGAGAGAGAGAGAAAGAGAGAAATTAATTTACTGTCAAAAAATGACAAAATGAATCTGTGGTATTTTCCTTTTTTAAAAAAAAATTTATTTATTTGAAAGGCAGAGTTAGAGAGAGAGGGGAAACAGAGAGATCTCCCATCCTCTGGTTCACTCCTCAAATGGCCACAATGGCTGGGGCTGGGCCGATCGGAAGCCAGGAGCCAGGAGCTTCTTCCAGGTCTCCCATACCAGTGCACGGGGCCATCTTTCACTGCCTTCCCTGGCCATCAGCAGACAGCTGGATCAGAAGAGGGGCAGCCAGGTCAGGAAGGGGCTCCTATAAGAGATGCCAGCACCACAGGTAGAGGCTTAGCCTACTACACAACAGTACCAGCTCCAAGAGAACAGATTTAAAACTTCAGTCTGGGCCAGCGCCGCGGCTCACTAGGCTAATCCTCTGCCTGCGGCATCGGCACACCGGTTCCAGTCCCGGTCGGGGCGCTGGATTCTGTTCCGGTTGCCCCTCTTCCAGGCCAGCTCTCTGCTGTGGCCCGGGAGTGCAGTGGAGGATGGCCCAAGTGCTTGGGCCCTGCACCCCATGGGAGACCAGGAGAAGCACCTCGCTCCTGCCATCGGATCAGCGCGGTGCGCCAGCTGCAGCGTGTCGGCCGCAGCGGCCATTGGAGGGTGAACCAACGGAAAAGGAAGACCTTTCTCTCCCTGTCTCTCTCACTGTCCACTCTGCCTGTCAAAACAACAACAACAAACATCGGTGTGAGGAAACTTAAAACTTGCAGTTCATGAAATCACCAAGGGCAGGTGTTGCAGGGCAGTGAGTCTGCCTGTCAAAACAACAACAACAACAAACATCGGTGTGAGGAAACTTAAAACTCGCAGTTCATGAAATCACCAAGGGCAGGTGTTGCAGGGCAGTGAGTCTCCTCACGGCACGGGATGCCTGCATCCCTTATTGGAATGCTTAGGATTCAGCTTCCTGCCAATGTGCCCGGAGGCAGCAGTTGATGGCCCGAGTGCTTGGGTCCCTGCCACCCACAGGGAGACCCAGACGGAGTTCCTGGTTCCTGGCTGGCTTAGCCCTGCTGTTGTAGACATCTGGGGAATGAAACATTGGGTGGAAGACCTCTGTCTCTCCCTCTCTGTCATTCTGCCTTCCAACGTGTTTCCTCAAATGTAAGACTAGGATGAACAGATAAAGTTCTCCTTCTCCTAGAGGCTCCAACAAATGCAAAGATAAATCTGAATACCCTGATGAGAAACATACTTGATCTTCACAGCAGAGAACTTTTCAAGGGTTCCTGAGGTTCAAAGGTGTGAAGGGTTAAGACAACAAAGCAGAGACCTCCTAGCTCCAAAGAGACGGCCTCTCTGCTAAGTCACATTTCAAATGATGCTGCAAACAGTGCTGTACGACACAAGTGCTGCACAGGACTCCACGTGCACAGCTCTTCCTCCACCCCACCACGATTCGCCCCCGTCTGCAGTCACCGAAATCACCCGAATTTCCATCGTGGCGCTAAGAAAACTGGGAAGACAGGAATTCATGGATTTGGAAGTAACACCAGTTACTCTCTCCATTTTCGTTCACTTTCACGGTCCTTTTCTCTTCCACCTGTGAAGCACACGTTGTAACGTACAGAGAGT